AGTACAAAGGGAAGTGTTAGTGTTAGAGGAGATTCACTTGAGAGTGCAAAGACTAGCGTTAGCCGCGCAAGTGATAGCAGTGGCCTTAGTGATGACAGCAATTGGAGCAACATCACTGGGAGTGCAAATAAGCCGCACAAAGGAAATGATCCTAGGTGGAAGGCCATTCTTGCGATCCGAGCACGAGATGGGAATTTGGGCATGAGTCACTTTAGACTACTAAAGCGGCTTGGTTGTGGTGACATTGGGAGTGTGTATCTTTCAGAACTGAGTGGGACTCGTTGTTATTTTGCAATGAAGGTAATGGACAAGGCATCTCTTGCAAGCAGGAAGAAGTTGACTAGGGCTCAGACAGAAAGGGAGATCTTGCAGCTATTGGATCATCCATTTCTGCCAACTTTGTACACACATTTTGAAACTGACAGATTCTCATGTTTGGTCATGGAGTACTGTCCAGGGGGTGATCTTCATACCTTGAGGCAACGGCAACCTGGGAAACATTTTTCTGAGTATGCTGCGAGGTATTTTGTTATTCAGTTATTCTAACAGCATTATTTCCTCAATATGCAACACATATATTATATTTATTCTATCGTCATCCCACCATTTGCTCTTCAACTCCCTTCTTTTAAGCTGCATCCTGCTATGTGCCCAAAAGTTGAATTTCATAATTTTGTCTTGCCTTTTTAATAGTTAGTGTCTAACAAGTCTTCTATTGTTGACTTGTTCCTTTGTGCATGCTATGTTGCAAGTTTTAAAAATGATATTGGTGAGAATTAGAACATATGGAACATGGTAGTATTATCTCCCATACAGCTCTAGGCTTCATATGTGACTAAAGATCTGAAATAAACACATGGCATCGTGATTCGTGATACATAACACAACTACCTCAACTCTCATCAGTCGTCACTGACAGGAGACAAAGTTCTTCTGTTACATAAATACATTTTCTGAGGGCTCATGGTTTATTCTTCCAACTCCTGTGTGAGATTTGAAGCCTTTCCATACTATTGTGATTCCGTAGACGTCTAATAGAATAATTTGCGTATTCTTGTTGTAAGTTTGGGGGAGCATTTGGAGACTCATGATTCTGAACATTGAGAATTGACACCTGAAGTTGTTCCCTATCACCTTCCTCATTGTTTTAACTCATTGAGTCATCTCTGATCCTTCATCCCTTAACCACAAATATCTTTATGAGCTTGTAACAAAAATCTCTTTTCCAGACAACATCTGGAAACCCTATAGGAGAGTTGGAAAAGATGGTTTTTCATGTCATGATTTTGTGGACAAAAGTAATTATTAAAATCACATAAACTTAAGGATTTTGAAAAAAGAAAAGGTTCCCTTGGGCCATTTATAGTCTGATCAGTGACCACTACTAAATATTGTATTTATAGTGAAGTAAAATTATTGGATACTTCATTGAGAAGCAGCATTTTGTATCACAATTAGTATATGGTGAAAAATCATTTAAGGTGATCAGGTGATTTTCTAATGTGTTTGAAGGGTCAGTTTTATATTCTCTGTAGTAGATAAGAAACATAAATTGCTTTTGCTGTGACCCTATGTCTATTTGAATGTCTTTCTCTATTATTTTTCCAGCAGATTCATGATCATTGTTTTTCTACTAGCAGGTTTTATGCTGCTGAGGTTTTGTTGGCACTTGAATATCTCCACATGCTTGGTGTTGTATACAGGGATTTGAAACCTGAAAATGTTCTTGTCCGTGACGATGGGCACATAATGCTCTCAGATTTTGACCTTTCCCTTAGATGTGCAGTTTCACCTACCTTGATAAAAACCTCATTTGATTCTGATCCTTCAAAACGAGCTGCTGGTGGTGCATTTTGTGTTCAGCCTGCCTGTATTGAGCCCTCATCTGTATGCATCCAGCCTGCATGCTTTATTCCTCGAATCTTTCCTCAGAAAAGTAAGAAAAAGACCCGAAAACCTCGAGCAGAACTTGGACTGCCTGCTAGTGCACTGCCAGAGCTCGTAGCAGAACCAACTGCAGCCCGGTCCATGTCGTTTGTTGGAACCCATGAATACTTAGCCCCTGAAATTATCAAGGGAGAGGGCCACGGTAGTGCTGTTGATTGGTGGACATTTGGCATTTTCTTGCATGAGTTGCTGTACGGTAAAACTCCATTCAAAGGCACAGGAAATCGAGCTACACTGTTTAATGTGGTGGGACAACAGCTTAGATTCCCAGATTCTCCAGCAACCAGCTATGCAAGCCGGGACTTGATCCGAGGCTTGCTGGTGAAGGAACCACAGCACAGGTTGGGAGTGAAGAGGGGTGCAACTGAGATCAAGCAACATCCATTCTTTGAAGGTGTAAATTGGGCACTAATAAGATGCAGCACACCTCCAGAAGTACCGAGACCAATGGAGACTGAGCTGCCTGGGAAATTTGGGGCAGTTGATCCAATTGGGGTGGGCAGCAGCAGTAAAAGGATGGTGGGGACAGACATGAAGTCTGGTGGTAAATATCTGGACTTCGAGTTCTTTTAGTACAGGCTTGTTGTGCTGTGTTGTGCTAGTATTAGTTGATCTTAGAAGAGTATGCCTCCATTACTCTCCTCTGATAATGAACTTCAGTTCAGCTGCCTCCTACGAGGAAAAATAGTATTAATTGAAAATTATTAATTTTACTTTTACATAGTGTTTGGAATAAATCTGTGCAATCTATTTCATTCGCAAACTTGAAAATTTCAAATGGATAAATTCCAGAGAAGTAAAATATGATCTGAGCATAATTAAAAATGTAAAATTTCAATTGAGTTTTCATTTATATCAAACACCAAAATTAGGATTTGTGAATGAATTCGGAAGAATTTTATGGAATCATGAATGCCAAAAAAATTCTTGCAAGCATTCTTAGTCTTCAGTCCAAGTGGTTTTGAAATATTTAGCAGCTTAATCAATTCAAATCCATTCAGGAAGGTGTCGTTTTGTTGTGTCAACGTAAAAATAAAGCGGTCTCTTTTGATCTATTATAAAAAAGCTGGTCGGTTGGTCCCCTACGATTTGAAGACTTACTTCTTCTTGTGTGCTTTTCACTCTCCAACAATTCTGCGGTTAAGGGCAGTAGCTGTGGCTGTGGCTGTGGCTGTGGCTGTGTTTTCTTGTAATAATATAACGTCGTTTTCATAACAAATTTACTCGTTAATTAATATCAATATCAACTTTCTCATCTCATCCTCAAACAAACATTGTGGCTCTTGAAAACGACCACCCGTCGATGACCTGACAGTCTACCTATATCCTACTTATCATGCTTTGTAATACCAAATTGATATTTAATGAATCTTTTTTAAAATGAAAATTTTTTTATCTCCAACAACAACTTATTTGCATACTTGCAATGGAGAAACAATAAAGAACTGAACCTTTCTAACGGCTCGTCTCATAATTTGAAATGATTACTTCCATAATTTTATCATTTTAAAAATACGCAATCTCAGTGCAGAACTTCAGATCCAGACAGACAAAACCACATGAATATGTAGGGATTCTTTCTGCAATTTTGCAATTTCTTTTTCTTAGTATAACAGCGAATCTTCGACATGTAACTGTTCAGAAGGAGATCCCGAACCCTCAGAATTAACTTTTCCTGTCAAACTAACAAAACATAAGCTATCGTTGATGCCATGAAAATAAGTAATAGAATCCATACTTTGAACACAACTTTTTTTTCAATTTATCATTTATTTAAAGCACGAAATAAGCACACATAAATATTTACCACTCTTTCAAATCACAGATGTGACAAGTATTTTGAAATAAATTATTTTTCAAATGTGACAAATATAATTAACTTTTCCTGTCAAACTAACAAAACATAAGCTATCGTTGATGCATGAAAAATAAGTACTAGAAGTCCCATACTTAGAACACAACTTTTTTTTTCATTTATTCATTTATTTAAAGCACGAAATAGCAACACATAAATATTTACACTTCTTCTCAATCACAGATGTTGACAAGTTTTTGAAATAAATTATTTTTCAAATGTGACAATATATATCATATATATATATATATATATATATATATATATATATATATATGGTGTGTGTATTTATATATAACTAAATAACTAAAAAAAAGACCAAAAACATTCACAAGGGAGATCGGTGCTACTATCATGAAAAAAAAATTTAAAAAAAAAAAAGGAGAGAGAGAGGTAAGCAATCTCACAATTCCAAAAAGGATTGACTGCTTTTGGCAGGGCAACCAGATCCCACAATATATCAATAATGAATTATCTTCTGGGCCCCAAAAGGAACTGCACTTAAACCCTTCACGACTTCAAGTTATTGAATTTTTAATATAAGGGTACAAGAGAAGAGAAACAAGAAAGTAGAATTCGTATAATTTATTAATCATGCTGAAATTTTTTAAACATCTGATACTGATACAACAATTCAACCAAATTCCTGTACAGAGACAATCCCTTCTCCTTGACCTGAAAAAGGATGACAAAACCGCAAAAAGGCTCCACATATATACATGTCAAAAATCCCCCTCTCCCCCTCCCCCCCCCTCCCCCCCCCCCCCCGCCCCCCCCGACCCCCCCCAAAAAAAAAAATAAATGACAATCTATCATAAGAGCCAACAACAAAAAAAATCTAGCCCTCGTTGAGTTCCAACTCTACCTCAAAAATCAAGAAAAAATCAAGGTATAATTATTGATCTGTCATAGGACACGGTTGCATACCAATTTCAAGGCCTCCATAAATTAAGAAGAAAAAGCTGCTGTCAAAATGCCTGGATAGAGTCTCGCGTGGCACCAAAAAAAAAATAAATGACAATTATCATAAGAGCCACAACCAAAAAAATTCTAGCCCTCGTGAGTTCCAACTTACCTCAAAAATCCAAGAAAAATCAAGTATAATTATTTGATGTCATAGGAACGGTTGCATACCAATTCAAGTGCCTCCATAAATAAGGAAGAAAAGCTGGTCAATGCCTGGAAAACTCCTGGCAATCCTGTCTGAAGATGGTTCAGTGTCATAGCCCTTGTCACTTCCACTGCCTTGGCGTGCCTTAGCATCTCATCTTCCACCTTCCTCTGGCAGGAAGCAAGCTCAGATTTCTTCTCAGCTAGTGGATCCCGAGCATCCAATGCGTGCCCGTTATCAGGTCCCGTATCAGGGAGACCAATGCCAACCATGGAGTATGAGTGATAAAACTTCCTTTCAATGTTTCGAAGAGAAGAAGCCTTCTTCTCCAATTCCTTTGATGCAGATTCAGTTCGTTTTTTGATTTTAAGCTCCTCAGTTTGTTTTCCAGATATCGCATGAACAATGTTAATAAAGCTCTTGATGGCTTCAGAAGCAACTGTATCAGGAACTCGGTCAAGAGCAAGCTTCCACTCATCACAGAAGGCATACACATCAGAGTGTTCCACACTGACATTCACATTGTCATTATTGCTCACAGGAAGAAGGGTGAGTTTGAACCAGCCATGGACAGATCGGATGAAGTCCCGCTGAAACTTTATTAGGTGGCAGAAACTGGAATGCCAGGCAGATACAGCTGACTCAAGATCACGAGTTGCCTGCCTATGCAGTTCAGAAGTTGAGTCACCCTTGGCTGAAAGGTTCACAAGACCTTTAACTTGTTGCACAATGTTGTTCTGAACTTCATGGTACTGGTGCATTGATCTCCACATGTACATGAATCTGCATTAAGTATACTGGATCAGTGAAATGATAACCTAAATGGTTTAATGTACTGTTAAGCAGTTCAAATTATATCACCATTCAAAATGATAAAGACAAGAAAGCTGCTGACACAGAGAGCTGAGTGAGAATGAAGTTCATCTCCAGATTAAAAGTTAAATAAAGATGGAAAACAGTTTGCGCTGGTTCACATCTCCAGTACTCTAAATAAATGCCTACCCAAAAACTAAAGCAATCATTCTTACTTCTTTCTTGATACCTTTTTCTGTACAATTATTATATGCCCCACTTTTTTTTTTTCAAAATAGCCCGACTTCAGTTTATCATTCTACAGGTTGTTTAACACAGCCAAAACTAACAGAGAGAATTGCAGCAGCCTGTTAGCAAACTGATGTTTTCTGTTTGCTAGGCAACTGTAAATTGGTTAAAGTCTCTCATTGACTACCTGATTACAAACATGTTAAAAATAAACCGATAGAAGTTACAAATATGGATCTCACCATTCATTGTGTTGATGTCCAGGACTATTTTTGTGGTGACAAACACATAACACGATCCACCCATACTGAACATCCAAACTTCCTAGAACAGTTATTATGCAATCATCACTATAATACCTAGGCAATTGCCACTATATTGTCACTGCTAACTGGTTTATTATACTGATAATATAAGAATTATCTAGTGTCTACTAAATTTACCACGTCAGAAAACCAGTCTAACAATGAAAAGACAATGGTGGGTCATATAGCAGTTAAGGTCACTACACCTAACTCTCTGCCCATGAATTAAATTTGGCCTCAACAGCAGATCAGATGAAACACAGCCATGGAAAGTCGACGACAATAAGACAGAAGTTGTTTCATACGAGACAAAGCAAGTGGCAAAATAGAGCAGTGCCTATAATGCTTCACCTACCAAAACAAAACGCTGAATGATATAGATAATGGAATTATTTCCATGAAGTTTCTATTACATTCACTATGAAGAAACATAATATCTCATCAGAATTCCATAAAAGAGAAAATGGCATACCCATGACACAGTTCAATCAGCTGAGGGACAAGATCAGTGTCTCTAAGACCAATGATGGCTGTTGAAGTGGTGGAGACAGCTTGGGATGTGACAATTATTAGAGACTGCAACCTCTGTATTGAAGCTTTGGTCTTATCTAGCTTTACTTCATCCTCTCCCTTGTACTCTTGACTCTGTAGTGTAGCCAGTTTCTTCTCATGCGCAATCTTCACACCTTCTCTGGCCTATTAAACATATCAAGCAATTCTTTATAGATGCAAAGCCAGTGGATGTTCAAAATGAAAATACAAATTTGAAACTCAAAGTCCAAATATTATTATTGAAGTCCAATTAGAAACCAGTAGATTAGTATTATTATTATTATTATTTTGAAAGGAGTCCAAATATTATTATTAAAATCCAATTAGAAACCGGTTTTCAGTTATGAATAAAATTTTTGGTTTTATTTGCAGTGCCATAATCTTTCTTTAATTAGACATAGAGAAAAGTGGCATCTATAATTTGAGACTGAAAAGGTGCACGAGTTGGTTGGACCGACCACAAAGGCGGTTCTTGTCATTCTGACAGTTTGTCAAGGGCATTTTAGTCTATCCAGGTGAATAGAAATATAATAGGAACGAAATCAATGGGACACGACACACAACACAAGAACAAGCCAATACAGTGAAACAACAACTCACCAAATCACAATGATACCCATCACAGGATAAAAAGGTAATTCCATATAAAAACTAAAAAGTACTAACATTAACTGGGGGCATTTTCGTCTGAATATTAAGAACAAAAACCACCAACCGTAAATTGGGCACCGCGGTGGACTTACGCTACCATCTCCGACACTATCTAGTGCATATCCTAGTCATTTAACAACACTTTTTTTGTTTATTAGATAAAAAGGTCAAAAAAAAAAAAAAAAAATATTAACGTCCTATTCCAGTGTGAATAGAAACTATAATAGCGAACGAAATCAAATGGCGACACGACCACACAACAACATGAAGAATAATCAAAGCCAATACCAGTGAATACAACAAGACTCACCCCTAAATCACAATGATACCTCATCACCATGATAAAAATAGGTCCCAAACGTCCATCATAAAAAACATCTAAAGAAGTACTAAAACATTTAACTGGGCGGCATCTTGTTCGTCCTGAATATTAATGAACAAAAAACCACCCAACCGTATCAATTGAGCCACCGCGGGTGGACTTACGCGGTGACATCTCCGACACCACTATCTCTAGCTGCCATCTATCCTAGTCATTTAACAACAGGCTTTTTTGTTAATTAGATAAAAAGGTCAAAAAAAACACAAAAAAAATTAGGTTCCACCACAGTAAAGATAATAAGTGCCACAAAAAATTTGAAAATTTCTGCCTCCCTGGTACAGGGGGTTAAAAAAAAAAAAAAAAAAGGAGAAAAAGAAATACCTTCACTTCCTCCATAGAGTAAAAAAAAAAAAAAAAAAAGGTTCACCCACAGTAAAGATAGTGCCAAAATTTGAAAATTTTGCTCCCTGTAAGGGGAAAAAAAAAAAAAAAGGAAAAAAGAAATACCTTCACTTCCTCATAGAGTTTCTTCTCCCAAGCCAACAACCGTTCCATGGTGGAGCACAGGCTTTTAGGGCCACCCGGCTCGCTGAGCGAACCGGTGTCCAGACGATACTTTACGGCCAATGGCGGTTTCGAAGTCCAACTGGAGCTCAAGTTGCTCAACATACTAGTAGAATGGTACACTGTCTCTGCAAGCAATAAACATGAATTACGTCAATAAAATAAAATTTGATCAAGCTTAATGGAAATAGAATCTGTATCAAAAATCGCTAATTGGCAAACTCGATTAAAAAGCCTAAGAAACGTACTCTTCAATTGCCGGAAACTCCGATCAAGCTGAGCCCGGCCAATCTCGAGCATCTCCGAGACCTGGTCTCCAGCTGCCGCAGCCTTGTCAAAATTCTGCTTAATAGCCTCCACGATTTCTTTTAAATCTTTGTGCCTCACGACCATCTTCATATTGGAGATCTCTCCAGTCCTGAAACTTGCCGATGAACCGGCCTCATCCGACTTCACTTTATTCCCATAAACTGGCTGCTGCTTCAGTGATTCTGCCCGCACAGATGACCCGAAATTCGACCGGGTCCCAATCTCGGATCTGGATTCTCTATCCTCATCTTCCTCCCCTTCTTCCGACGAGCTTGTGGTACTATAATGATCATGATCTTCCCATTCGCTGCACTGTACCTCCTCTCTCTCTGTTTCTTCCTCGACGGTACTATGCTGCTTGTTATTTGTACTAGTGTTAATATGGTGGAGATTGTGCTTCTTATTCTGTAATTGGAAAAAATCATACTCCGATCTCTCCGTTTCAGTCTCGGTCTCATTTTCGGCGTCTTCATCTTCTTCATCTTCTACATCGTCAGTGTCTAAGTGATGTTGCTGCCGTTGTTGGCGATGTTGGTTTTGATTCTGGGCTTTTCGATCAAAGAATTCGGAGTCAGGAGGCGATGGAGGGTAGAAATTCTCCCAATTCCAAACAGAGGAAGCTTGTGAAGGTGTGCTCGAGTACGTTGAATTTGCTTGATAAGCTGTAGGATAATCAAAATTTCCGGCAAAATTGGATTTCTGACTCCGAGGAGACGACGTAAGGCTAGATTCAGAGAGTATATGGGGAAGTTTCCTAGATTTACGGCGGCGATTAGACGCAGAGTTGAGAGTTGGGGCGGACTGAATATGAGGGAGCTTAGAACTCACAATTGTAGGAGAAGGAGAAGGAGAAGGGGAAAACGCAGGTGGCGGTGGATGGAGAGAAGGGGATGTAGAAGGAACAACACGTGGAGGTATAGAATTGGTAGACGAAGGAGGAGGAGGGTTTGGCGGGTGGAGAAAAACGGCAGGGGTTTGCTCAGAAACGGCAAGTGATTCCCCAGCAGCGAAAGAGCAAAGAGCTGAACCCGTAATACGTAGCGAACGACAGTAATCAGCGTGAGCCGCTGCAAGATGGTGGCGCGCGTAGACAGCTTCCTTGATGAGGCGGCGGCGCTCCTTGCACCGCCTCACGGTATCCTCGTTATCCAGCTTCGACGCTGTACAGCCCATCCAGAAAACGACGTAGAGAAAGAGAGGAATGGCGCGTTTTTAGGCGGTGGCGCCCGATTTGAGCTCCCTAGAGAGAGTGTGTGAGTGAGAGAGTGTGTGAGTGAGTGGAGGACTGACTATAGTAGGCTATGTTTGGACTCTTGCATCCCCCCCCCCCCCCCACCTGTGCTTGCTTTTCCTTCTTCCTTTTTCCCCTTTTTCTCTCCTATTAACCATAGAATAGAGTCTCACTCTCACTGTTGATATAGAAAGGTCCTTTCTCTCTTTTTAATTTTTTAAATTTTATTTCATAAAGTCATATTGAAATAATTTGTGCCATAATTACATTTTTTATTATTTATTAAAAAAAACTAATTAGTGTTTGTTAGTTCTGTAGGTTAATTAAATAAAGGGTGTAGCAGAAGGTTGCTTTTTGTTGTTGCTGGGGTTTGTACACTTGATAAGGGAGGATCTTTGGATTATTTATGTGGGCCTATGAATTAATTATTCAGTCATCGATGCCTCCAAACTACTTCAAGTGGTTGGATTTATTGTATGTTTGGATTGATAGAAAATATGGGAGAAATGAGAAAGAAAATAAATAAATTCTCTTTTCTAATAAGCCAAAATAACACTGTAGATATAAACTCCTTTCATGATTCAGTAAATACCATAAACAAGTCATGTACACACTTATAAACAAGCAGCTATTACCACTCTTTTCTTTATTTTTAGACTTAATATCTTTTCCTTGTCAGATTAAGTGCCTATTTTCTTGCCTGAATTCACCAAATTGCAATGCTTGTTAGGTGGGTTAGTGTTTCTATAATGAAAAGAAAAGACAGGAGAGAAAACTAAATTAAGATTAACTGATTAAATCTTTAAATGACTATGCAATCACATGAAATCGAATTGGTTAACTATTTAATTCACCAAATCTAATCTATTATGTATTTAAATCTTATATTCTTCGATTTTACAAGGAACTGCTATTATCCCAAAATTTCATAACCCATCTAGTTAAAGAAATTACAAAACAAAAATTATTACTTTGATAGCTCATTCAATCTTTACAAATCATTTTTTCCTGAAAAAAAAAAAAAAATCAATCTTCACAAATCATCAATGAAGTTAATAGCGCGTGTATATATATATATATATATATTTCTTTTTGGTAAATAAGAAGATAAAAGAGAAAATTAAGAATTATATCAGATATATCTAGAATAAGCTGTATCTAGAACATCGAACACAAGCCATGAAGAATTAGCAGGTATATTATTAAAATATTATGGAAATAGATTTATTAAAATACAAAAATTAAACATAGAATAAAGAATAACCATTTATATGATCTTAAAAAATGAAATAAACAAGAAAAATTTAAAAAGCAACAAGAAGCAATTGAAGGGAAATAAGGGCTTGGATATTCCGCAATAAGTGGATCCTTTCAGGAAAAAAAAAAAAAAAAATCAATGTGGGGTGAAAGGCAGAGATCGAAAAGGGTGAAAGTTTTTTTTTTTTTTTTTTTTTTTTAAGGGGCTTGGATATTCCGCAATAAGTGGATTCCTTCGGAAAAAAAAAAAAAAAAATCAATTGTGGGGTGAAATTGCAGAGATCGAAAGGGGTGAAAGTTTTTTTTTTTTTTTTTTTTTTTTTTTTCTCTTTTTCTTTTCTTTTAATTTTTTCCCCACTTCTGGTAGTCTTCATAAAGATAGTTTTTTCCCCTTCTTTTTGGCTTTGATTTTTCACCGTTAAACTTGACGGTGTAATACATAATTACTTCAATCTCGACTTATGGTAATTTGTAGAGCGCATCAGATTCTTCACGAATTGAAATGTTGCTTTCAAGATATTCTTTAGCTTTATTTTCTTTAGGCATTTTCTCAAAAAGAATTTCTTTTCCTTTTCTTGAATTGGGTGGTCACTGGAAGCAGATGATAATCAAATCCAAGGATAGAAAAAGCCATAGGGACCATGGAGCCTAATCCCTAATTTTCTAAATTGGCTGTAATTTGAATCAAACTTCTTAATATGCGGAATGAAAAAGCCCAAGCCTTTACAAATCAGGCATCAAAGGAGAACAAAAATTTATTAGCACGTCAATGAATTCCAGTTTATTTTCCCTGCTTTTGGTAATTAGAGTGGGAAAATTAAAACTTTTAACTGATAATTGTGGAAACCGGAGACCTTCCCCAAAGAAAAAGAACAATAATAAGACAAAAAAAAAAAAAAAAAAAACATAAAAAAAAAAAAAAAAAAAAAGCTCGTAACCAACAGGCCAGGTTTCAACTGTTAAACGAAGGTCACTTTGAAAGCTGCAACCACAAAGCTGATTTCAAAAAAAAAAAAAAAAAAAAAAAAGCCTCGTACCACAGCCAGGTTTCCAAACTGTAAACGAAGGTCACTTGAAAGCTGCAACCACAAACTGATTTCCCTGAATTTACGTATTACTAATATCCAAGCAGACTACCAAAAAATAAGCATCCGCAGTCCAAGGAAAATGACGGGACTATTTTCTTCGACAAAGCTAAACAAAGTGGACCATTGAGTCCACACCCTAGCCTATCAAATCATACAGTTAATTAGCATTAGACTACCGGATGCATTAGACTTGTCTTAATTCTTATCGATTCTGAGTTTTTACTTGTGGAATCTAAACATAATATAAATTAGGAACACAGTTAAGAGCCTTAAATAAGTAATTAAGAAAACAAAACACTATTAATTAGCCACCTATCTTTATCAGCTTTCGCACTGTTTGGGTGGGTAGGAAGTTAGAATATCATCAATATACATGGTAAAGACATCGTCCTCTTTGCCATGTCTACTTTCCCAAATATGTCAGCATCGACTTGTACTGGAAAAAAAAAAATAATAAATTTTGAATCAAATGTGAAAAGAACACCATTTTGCCTTACAAATTCAGAGATTTGCACTTCACAGTCCAAGCAAACCACATAAAGAGTCAGGATGACACATCGATAGTCGCAGTTTCACGTTGAATTTTGCAACTCTTACCGCTCTCAATGGCATTTTGGTCATCTGGGAAAAATAAATAAAGACCTAAAAAGGGCTTTCAAAGCTCAGAAGATGAGCCAAGGAAGAATAAATTCTAAGGGGGAATACATAGAAAAGCAACCAACTATGCATGTATATTTTCCACACGACATGGACCCCCCCTCCAAAAACAAGCCATTATATTATATATGACACAGTCCGGTGGGTGTAGGGACCCACCACGATTTGTTTTGCCAAACAGCTAGCACAGAAAAGAAAGGATCTGTCTTCTAGAGTCGGACAAACGACGCACACAGATCCAACCACATAAGTCATCAATCCTCATGGAGACTTTTAGTAAAGCCTAACTACTACTAGCTTGAGAGACTCTTCTTACCTGACAACCTCTTAACCTGGTTAACTGGCACGCGTCAGTCATAGGCACTGCCCTGATACTATTTGTTTAACCAAACATGGCAATGAGCAGCCACACTCTGGTGCAGTCTTGGGCTTTCATGGAGATGCTGCTGAAGGGTTGCTGATCACGTGCTGCTGGTGGGTAGGAAAACCGAAATTCCCAAAGAGCCCCTGTTAAAAAGCCACGATGCTGAACGTCAAATGCTTATCTTCTGGGTATCAATCAAACGATAGCATACGCATCTATCCTCATAACAAAGTGACGTGTACATCTCATTGTGTCGTCATCAAGAAAACGGAAAAGCAGAAAGATAGTGGCACCATTCAATTAATAATATATGGCCAGCAACATGGATGGTAGATACTACTAGATGGAGGGTTTCAGTGCGAGGAATAACACTGTATCGTGAATTTTTACTATGATGCAAGTAAATTTGCATGTACAAGGAGGAGAGGATATTTTAGAGTAAATCTGAACTGGAATTGGGCTAAAATATGTACATACCATGGCATCATTTATGGCGCAAGCCACACAGTAGTGCTCCTGAAAAACCGAATTGGGGACAAAAATTAGAACACAACAGCATCAACCATAACAGGCCCATATATCAAAATCAACTATTGTCCTTAACTAATAACCTATAGCACTTTTTACTTTTTTTTGAAGCATGAATGACGAATTAGCTTGCCTGCATCATGTGCCACTCTTCAAACTCATCAAATAATTCCAGCCGTTCAATCCTAATCATGAGAAAAACTTCCGTGAGTAGTTTAGGGATAGAGAGAAAAAGAGAGAGAGAGTGAAGAGAAAAGAAAGGAAAAGCAATGTATTAAAAAACAGAATTCAAAATATTTATTAAAGAAGTGAAAAGGGGAGAACAGCCAAACAAGGAAAGGGCTTTTTCTTCTATCATTCAGCAATCAACATGTCAGAATCTCCAAAAGAAAGCCATTAAGGATTCCTCCTTTCACAAAGGCAGAATCTTAAAAGGCAGTTATTGCACATTTACACTTTGTTGTGATTCCGATCAAGCCTCATCATATGTCTCTTTTATATCTGGACTAACACATGATATGCTTAAAGTTTCTAGTTCCACAAATGCTCTCAAACAGCCAGCAACGCATCTTTTCATATAGGCATAAAGCATAATCAATGGGATGGAACTATAAAAGAGAGACATCTAGGGTTCACATTGTTGAAAATGCATGAGCAACCACTAGCTGCTTCCAAGAACATGAGAATTAAAAAAAAGGCATAAATGCCAAGCTGCTCTTCACCAGATCATCTCTTATATGTGCAGATTATGGTAAAAAAAACCAGAAATGGGTGAATTACAGAAGCAGCGCACAGCACTCTGACAGAATGATGTAATTAACTTATAACTTAATAAATTAATTAGGAAGTAGAATAAACCAAAGTATATTAGATGACAGCCTCTGGCCACCACTGGGTTCAAAAAACGGTATATCAACAGGGAAAAAACAATGAATACTGTATTGATGACTGTCCAATATTTATAAAGTAAATACCTGCGCCTTTCTTGAGCTTCAATAAAATCACTATAAACTCTCAGCATGTCCCATGCAACAACCCTCTAACACCTCATAATGTGCAAGAAAGAAGTCTTTAGAATTTTCATACAAAAAAAAAATCAGTGAACTAAAAACAGTGAAGGAAATTAAAGAAAGGGAAAAGTTATCCATAAACAAATAAATGAACAAACATTTCAGGTGGAATTCATATTGAGTTCTATATGCTTCCCTAACAAACATTTCTCTTTTTGTTTTTCCTTTTTCTATCAAGGGAAAAACAAGGAAGCCAATTTCATTCCAAGGAAAATTTCCTTGTTTGAGGTATACCTGCCATCCCTGATCAAGAAAAAGTCTTTCCTTTGCAAGCAGAGTTGGTGTATCATAAATTCCCAGTAATGCACAGCCACGACTCTTGAGGACCAAAAGAAGAAGATAAACGCCATAAATTAATTGAGTACATATATATTGATACTAATGACAAAGACAGTGAGCGAGTGACAATTTATACAATTATATGCAGTCAAGATATATAGGGGATGCTTATAGATCCGGGCCCTCATGCAAAGCCTGCCCAGTGAGTAAGCAATAATTTTATGACTATTTGAACAAGGCCCCAGCAAAATTTTGAGATTCTAGTATCTCTCAACCCTATTTTGGCTTGAAGGAAGAGGTTATAATTTTTCAGGTTACTTTTTTCCCTTTACTTTTAGGCTATGATTGATGACTACACTTAAGAAGTATGAGTTTGAGGTTGGAAGAAAAGAAATTAATTCCAAGATTTGGGGCAGAATCAGATCATATAAGACAATTCATTTCATTTTTTCCCCTTCATTTTGAATTTTTTGCATTCCCTACAATTAAAACTGTTGTGGGTTCATGGCCAAAAAGCAATACTGCTGAAATTACTTGAAAGAATTAACTGCTGTAAATCAGAGGGAGAAAGATCCAAACCTCCAAATTTCTAATCATCTGCTGTCCAAAAGCGTCATCAGGGTGGATCTGTAATCGTGAAATGTAAATTATAGAGGCTTTTTTTTTTTTTTTTTTTTTTTATTCTACAATCATCTGCTGTCCAAAAAAGCGTCATCAGGGTGGATCTGGTATCGTGGAAAATGTAAATTATAGAGGCTTTTTTTTTTTTTTTTTTTTTTGGTGGTTGGGGGGTGAAGGTTTGTTAATATGAAATCATACAAACATTAAAATATAATGAAGCAAAGAGAAAATCTAATGGGAATTTTTTTTTTTTTTTTTTTTTTTGGTGGTGGGGGGTGAAGGTTTGTTAAATGAATCATATACAAACATTAATATATAATGAAGCAGAGAAAATCTATGGAAAAAAATGGTTATTAACATGTATATAAACATTAAGTCCAACAGCCTTGACAAAGCATATAACCTGCTCATATAAGAAAAACACAGCAGTTGAAAATGTCCTTGATGCCCAACCAACTATAGCTCGCGTTGAATCTGGATCCAAGTATATTAAAACGCATTCTGCAATTATAAATGTCGGCAATCTGATAACAGTATCAGAACAAAGCAACTTATTGTCCCTTCAGCATGAAGACAAATAACCAGACTCCATAAAGAAAATGATAAGGGAAAAGTCAAAACAAGGAGATGCTTAATCTAGAAAAAAGTCATCTAATGTTGTCAAATTGCAGTACTTCTAGCCCATCGATTAGAACAAATCATTATGAATATATAAACCAGAATTATGAAAACCTAAAAAAATACATATCCAGTTGTAATAAATAATAATCAAAACCCCAGAGAATGATACTTTTCAGCTAAAGAACATAGGACTTCAAAATTTATACATATGAACATATTCTGGCAGACAAATTGAAGTGCATGGTAAGGAACAAATAGTGGATAAAAGACCATCGACTACTACTTAAAGAACATATATTGTATGTGATCTAAAAGTAAAAAAGAAGGGAATTAATGAAATTTAATCAACAAAAAGAAAAGAAAATAGGCTCTGCATACATACCTGGGATCCATATTAGCCAAAGCTATGATATCATCTAGTTTTTGTATATCTCGCAAGTCAACTGGTAGCAGCTTGTAATTATCACCAAGCACTTCTCCTTTCTCTGTAAAGAAAAAAAACTACCAATTAATACAAACTAGAATTGAAACAGAGCTAATTGAACTTTGAAATCATGTTATCAACACACCAAGAAGAGAAACATCTATCAAAACAGAAACAGGTGCCTATGCAACCCAAGTCCATGTGCAATTCAAGCAACTTACCTCGTGAGATTGATGATGTAGCACCAACTTTATCCCTCAACTGACTGTAGGATTCAATAATTGCTGCCTTTTTACTAGTTACCTAAAAAATGCTTCATGTAAGTTGAGAGCAAAGAGCTGAGCCTTAGGCCAGCAAGCATAGATTGGTTAATTATAAGTTTGTTCCACATAGGTTTAAATAGCTGAGAAGGTCAGAACCTCATGCACAAAAACAAGCTAGTACACTGCCGCATAAACTCGAAAGATAGCAATGAAAGTATAAATTCCAACCTCCTTGAAATCCAGCTCCACGTATAAAGATGGTGCTTTTCCCTCATCCTGTCATAGAAAATGTACCATTGCAATTAGCAAACCAAATGTCTGGCAGAAAACTTAAAGATGAAGAAATATCGGATATGATATCAACTCCTTCCCCACTTTCTAACAAGTGTTCCTGATCTCAGTATCATTTTAGGTTCTTGAACTCGTCGAAAATCATTAATAATTTGCATGAATTTCATTACCGTAACTTACTTTTCTATCATACAAATATATTCCTCTGGTTAATTGCAGACTCACAGGTCCTTGGTCTTTTTTTTGTTTATTATTTCCAATACAACATTATTAGCCAGGAATTTATCATCGAGTATCTGAAAGCCCATACTCCTTAGGTTAACTTAGAACATTGGACGTAGATCATTAAGTTCTTTGGTAAAAACCTATGTTCTGCTCCCCTACTCCCCCCCTTCTCCCTCTCTTTGTACCTCATGGAAGTTAAATATCAAGCTTCAAATTTTAAGGTGCCAATAATTTCATGACATGGCTAAGACATTGGAAGCTTTAGAACTTCTGAATGCATAAGACACAATGCACATCAACAAAAACCAAATTCCAATTTGTAGTTCTGAATATGCAACCGCATTATTCGCTTTATTTATACATTCATTTTCATTTACTTTTGAAAATGGCTTACGTATTTTCAAATATAGGTAAAATGATAATTGTTTATGGGGTTTATTAAGAATTTTCACAAAATCCAAAGAAATCAATGTTGTCAACAGGATAACTAATCATTTTGACGGTGCAATATTTAGTCACATAGATGGTACAAATAAAAGCTGAAGCAAACAGGTGGATTTTATGGTAAAAGAACAATGCAGATTCTAGTCTAAATCATAAGCTGAATTTTATCACAAATAAAAGGCAAAGTAATGCACCTGTAACTGAAAGTAAGTTGTATCAAAACCTGCCCCAATCGACAGTATCTGCTTCTTCGTATGACCTTTTTCATCAGCATTCATTTCACAATCAAGAAACTGATATAGAAACTTCCGAAGAGCAGCCCAACGCGCAAAGTAGCCTCAATTACAAAGAAGTAAAGGCATAGAATCAAGTGAAAAATAAGTACTAAGATAACAGAGATTATAATATCAGAAAACATGAAATAATCAGTAATAGAAATATACCGCGGTTGATTATTGGGGATCTCCTCACAGGTCGTCTAACAAATAAATGGATGTAGTCATCCTTCATGTATCCTTTTTTCACACAGGACCTTTTCAAAGTCCATAGTAACATTCAGTATACAATATCGCTGTCACTTATTCCGTATTATCACATAAATAACGATTTTTCCGTCAATTGTATATAATTTTCTTTTTCGTTTTCTAGTTAAACAAACAGCAATAACTATAAAATTAACAAATGAAAGAAGAAAAACTTGAAACTACAATGTTAAGGAAAAGAGAAGATTCGAAGTGAAAGTTATACTCACAATTTACTGGCTGAAGCGTCGTCGTTCGTCGCTTGTATCGCCGGTGTGTTGCTGTGCGAATCTGACACTGGCTTTGCCATCGATAATTGTGGGTTTTGTGACAGAAAGGAACCTCAAACACACGGCGTAATGATTTCCAAATAGCGAACCTGACTGGTGGCTCTAATTAAACTAATTAGATCAAATGGGTATGTCCCGGCATTGATGAATAACAATAATATAAATACCTAAACTATTGTACTACCTCCTAAAATTTTTGGCGCTCTGAAATAAATAAATAATTTATAATTTTAGTTTTTTTTTTCACTTTCCCATAATATTTTTTATAATGATTTATGTGAATAATAATAATGATTGAATTTATTAGACAGCGGATAAAGAAATCTATAATTAATTCCTGAAAATTTTTAATACATTAACCGTTTATTTTATTTTAAAATTTAGTATATAATTTTTAAAATTTTTATGCTTGAAAAAATAAAAAAATTATAGTTAAAATAATCATTTTTAACCCGTGTGAAAAAAAAAATTGAGATTATAATTTTCATATGAATGGAATAAATATTTTTTCCATTATAAACAAATAGAATTAAATACATAAATAAGAAGTTTGTATAATAAAGTTCAATAAAAATTAAATAATTATATTTATTGTAATATAAAAATTTATATTTTAATATTATATAAATAAAAAAATTAAAAAAATATCAATAAAAATTAAATAATTATTTTATTGTAATATAAATTTATAATTTTAATAATTAATATAAATACAAAAATTAAAAAAATATAGTTAATATTTACAAATATAGTCTATATGCAAAACACATTAATAAATTAAAAAAAATAATAAATTAATTATATGAAATATTATTTTTATGAATTTTAGATAATTATTATATATTATATAAATAAAAAAATTAAAAAAATATAGTTATATAACAAATATAGTCTATATGCAAAACACATTATAAATTAAAAAAAATAATAATTAATTATAAATATTTTTTATGAATTTAGATAATTATTATATAATGTGCAGTTAGTATTATTAATTTCGCGCATCAAACCTCACAAATAATAAAAAAAAAAAACAAAAATAACTGTAACCCTCTAAAAATAAATTCACAGTAAAAAAACGAAAATCAATTTCCTGAAAAGGACATCCACGTCTTAACTCATCTCATATATAGCTACAAAAAAGAGCAAACCAGGCGTCGATCGGACTGCCCCCTCCTGCCGCCTAAGTTGCTAAATCAAAATAACCCTAACACCTCTCAAATTTCAGAATACCTCTTCCAAGTTTTCTTCACTTTGTCTTCCTCCAATGTACTGAGTCCTTAATTTCCGTAAACCAGTTCAATTTTGTTTAGCCCCGTGCAAGTTGTATCTATCATTGAAGATGGACATCGAACAAAAACAAGCTGAGCTAATCGATCATTTTGTCAAGCAAGCATCGGTTCTTAAAGGCTCTGCTCTCGGTCCTGTTGTTACTGAGGCCACTTCTCACCCCTCCCTCTTCGCCTTCTCTGAGATTCTCTCTGTACCCAGTGTCGCTGAGGTCAGAATCCTAGCAATTTCCGGTTATCTAGTAATTTCATTTGATATTTTTGAGTTCGAATGGAATGACAAGTGATTTATCACTTTCTGTTATTATCGTTGGGGTTGAAAATTTTCCATTGTAGTCAGTTGATTTATTTGATGAAGTTTTGATTGGTTGAGGGTTTAGGTTATTTATAGTTGGTGAAAATTTTTTCGTGTATTGATAAAGGGATTCTTGCAGCTTGAAGGAACTGAAAATTCCCGGTATGTTGACCTGCTTCGGTTGTTTGCGCATGGCACCTGGACTGAGTACAAGAGTAAGCTCAAAGGCTCCTGTTTCTCCGTAGGTTTACGTTACTCTATAGTTTGGGGTCTGGGTAGTTGGTTATCCATTGGGTTCTTTTTTGGTTGATGTAAATGCTCTTGATTATAGGATATTGACATCTGAAAAGCTCTAAGTCTGACTTAATTTTATTAGGCAGCTCATGGTTAGATGCTTCTTTTATACTTTCACGTGACAATACTGTTAGCTGTCGTCTTTTCAAAGGTTTCCAAGATTATCGAGCTGGAACTGTGTTGAATTATTGCTTCCCGATACCCCAGATTTCCTTCCATTTACTGTGATGGGTGGGGTGAAGGCCAATGGCTTTGTGGAAAGCTGGATTTTGAATTTTAATTATTGGTCTCTATGGTGCTTGGGGTATGTTTACAAATTATGATGTTTCTGCATACTGGTTCTTGATATTTAAAATGGCACATGTTGACATTGGCAACAAATTTGCATCCCTTGTCCAGTGGATCATGGTCACTTCTAAGAAACTAATGACCTTTATAGTAACCTTTCTCTGTCTCAGGTGACATCATGCTCTTTACCCTATTCTATCATCCTGAATTAATTTAGAAATATTTTAGACTAAAGATGCTGCTCATGCTAAGTTATATTAGTTTTTTTTGCATTTGAGAGAATGGGAGATGGAATTTTAGATACTCATAGCTATTATTCAGGTGGGTTTTCTATTTCCTTGTTTGAACAATCTTAAAAACTTAAGCGGAAAAAAATAATTGGGGCATAGTTAAAGGCAGGAAATTGCTTCATTATATGGAAAATGGAACAAGAAATCAAATTCTGAAGGATCATGAAGGAAACTCACTATGCATAGTCAGCGGCATTGATATGCACAAGTACCCATTTGTTTTTAATTGCCAGGGATGGTTTGTTTCATTTGGATTACTTTAAGGGCAAAGTCCTAATTTTTCTCTTTCCTTTGAGGCATTATGATGAAATTTGAGAATTAGACACATCTCTTCACAGATAATGCTGGTCATCTTCCGGAACTGGTTCCTGATCAAGTTCTCAAGCTTAAACAACTCACTGTGCTTACACTTGCTGAGATGAACAAGGTATGTTTGCTTGGACTTCTAGGCACTTTCCGTAGTACTAGTTTCATGAATTTATATGATGAGCTTAGTTGATATTTTCAGGTATTATGCACACCAATTTAAATATTAGATGCCAGATGATTTATCTGTCTAATTCACTTAGAATTTTGATAATTCAACTGACCTGTCCCTTGAGCTTGTCATGATGTTATACTGCTCTAGGTTCTACCCTATGATCAACTAATGCAAGAGCTAGATGTTACAAATGTTCGTGAACTCGAGGACTTTCTGATTAACGAATGCATGTATGCGGTATGTTTCTTGCAACTAGATTATTCTTGCCTCTTTTTTGGTAGGATATTTTTTTAAATATAAGAGAAAAAAGTGTAAATTTACAAGTCAAAGAGATGTTGAGTTGAACTTGTTATCTGACTCCTTTTCCAGAAATTTATTGTGAAACTTCACTTAATTTGATAGAATTTGTACTGCTATACTGTTGGGAAAAATATCAACAAGAATATGCTAATTGTTGCAATTTCTTTTCCCACTAATGTTATTCTAGGGAATAGTTAGAGGCAAGTTGGATCAGTTGCGAAGGTGCTTTGAGGTCTGTGGATCCTGTGATTTCTTTGACTTCAAGATGTTGCTGTTTTCATATCCCCTCCTCCTTTGAGCGTGTTGAAACTTTTCTAGTATTTTGTGAGATACAGGTCCAATTTGCAGCTGGGAGGGATCTCAGACCTGGGCAACTGGGAAATATGTTACAAACGCTATCAAGCTGGTAAATCTTTGGTTCAAGTATTATCTTTATATTTTCTCTTAACTTGGTTTGTTCTATACCTACTTGCACATAACTGCCTATTGTAGGTCGAACTTGTTGCATCTATATATGTTCTTCACTATTGTCTTTAGACCATTATGGTTATCCACCCTTGATTGCATGATAAAAAGACCCCTTAAAATCTTTAGGCTAATTATTTGTCTCTCCTTTGTAATTGTAAGGTTTTCTTAAATCAGGCTGATTAGTTCAAGTTAATTGGTAGTCTTGTGATCTAGTATATTGTAGCTTTTTTACTGTAGATCTTTATGCACTATTAATAGATTGTACACACTGATAATGTGACTTGCATTTTGGTCTACTGCCTGTTTTGGTTATCTTGCCTTGTTGTTAATTTATTTAATTCTGAACTTTCTTATTTATATTCAACTTCTGGTGTCAGTGTTATCTTTTTAACTTTGGAACTATGGATATCTAGGTTGGCTACATCAGATAATCTACTTGTCTCGATTCAAGAGAAGATAAAATGGGCTGATACTATGAGTGAGTTGGACAAGAAGCACAGGAAGGATGTGGAAGATAGGGTAGAAGAAGTAAAGAAGTCCCTTTCCCTCAAGGTCAGTTGATTCCATCTTAAATTTAATTTATTTGACAACCAACATTCATGCACTATATTGTTTGTATTTTTCATTCTTTTTTTTTTTTTTTTCCATCTTAATTTAATTTATTTGACAACCAACATTCATGCACTATATTTGTGTAATTTTTATTCTTTTTTTTTTTTTTTGGTTTGGGGGGGGGGGGGAGGTTGGGGGCTTGGGAGGTTGAAGGAAATGAAGTGTTGATTTGGTCAAGTTTCAGGCCAAGAGAGAGAGAGAGAGAGAGAGAGTAATTTAAATACTTCTGCCGGACATATTTCATCACTAATGAATTAAGATTTAGCTACTGGAAAAGATAAAAAAATAGTTACATATTCTTTTTCCTCCCTCCTCCTCCTCCTCCTGCCTCCTCCTCCTCCTCTCTCTCTCTTCTCTCTCTCTCTCTCCCACTACCCCAAAAACTCTCTCTCTCTCTCTCTCTCTCTCCCACTCCCCAAAAATTCCCCTGCCTTGTGGGCGGGCCAATGGGGCCCCTTCTCCCAAAAGCTATAAGCCCACTTTCAAATCTTTGCGCCTGCTAGTTTTGGTCATATATGAAAAAGTTTTTGTTCAGTTTCTGGGATATTTCGGGTCGATGTGTCTTACTTACGTTGTGGCAGAAGTTACACACTGTAAGCAGGCCGACGTTGACTTCAGAGGGCATGAGGAGATCTATTCTGAACCTGGTGGAGTGATGGATTATGAGGAAGACCGAAGCCGGCCTAAAAGGTATTTGGATACCACTTTCTTTCTCTTGTTCTTTCCATAATATTAAGATTCTGCACTGGGAAATGCGATGTTGAATCTTTGATCTTGCATAGCATGTATGTTTGTTTTTCTTTGAATTTCCATTGCAACGGAGGAATCACGTGTTTTGTTTTATTTATTTGGATTATTATTGGAACTTTTTTACTGTTTGATTGGTTGGTTTTGAAAAATTGCAGGAGGCGGCATCCAATATCTTGAAGGTATAGATAGATCAAGAAACTTATGTGATAGGGTGTTTTGAAGCTACATGCCAGATTTTCATTGATGGCATTCCAGCAGCAAATGATTTGTGCATTGGGGACCTCTGTCAGCGAAGTTTTCATTGTCAACTTAATTTATATTGGAAAACCCTTACCTTGTTTTAATCCTACTGTTGTTCACATTGAGTTGGAAAGAACGGATCCGAGGTTTGGTGGTGCGGCTGAAATTTTAGAGTAGAAGCTCAATGTTATGATTCTTATCTTTTTGCTTTTTGATGATTGCCTTCAATTTGCCACAAAAAAACAGTGCATATTATGTATTTTAGCGGCTTCATACACATGAAAGGTCAATAGATCTGTGGTTGAAAGTTTTTTGACTGCCTGATGTGGTGGTAACGTTGTTTCCTTGCATGTATCTGAAATCTGCTGATCACCAAAATTTAGCATTAGAATCCGGTGGTGTTGAATCAAATCTTGATCTGAAACTCAAAAATCTAAAGATGATGCTTTGATCTGCCTTTTACAATTGTGGGACTAGACCTTAGATGCTACAGAAGTCCCCTAGTCTAATTGAGGGAGCTTTAGGAATAACATGTTTTGAAGTTTGAACTTAGTACCTAAACTCCATTGGAATAAAGAAATTCATGCAATGTGAAAGCAACTAAATTGCATTACGGTTTTAGCAAACATAGCATCAGAACAAATTTATTTTGGATTATTGAAAAACTAGAAAGGTGTTAATTGATTAGTGAAATTGTTATTGAATACACAATTAAAATGGACATCTTGGATGCTTTTTTTTTTTTTTTTTTTTTTTTTTTTTTTTTTTTTTTTTCTGAAAAGAACGTAAAAAATGGTAGAATTGTATATTTTTTTTTTTTTTTTTTTTTTTTTTCTGAAAAGAACGTAAAATGGTAGATTGTATATATTTGAAAGGCTCTGTCATTTTCAGAGCGACGGGGAACCATTGGACATTTGAAATTAAAAGTGCGTGTAAAATTACCTAGGGCCCAAATGACTTACTGTTGTTGACAAGTGGGCTTTTTGTGTGGACGGTCCAAATACATGTGCCCGATAATTCTTCAGTTATGTTTTTATAAATGTCAAATATGGGAAAGGAAGAAAATAATAAGGAAATATTACTATTTTTTGTTTAAAAAGGAAATGATAATTTAAAAAAAAAAAAAAGTAAAATGAATGTTATTTTTCTTTTAAAATATTCATTTTATTTTTCTCAAAAGATAATTTTATGTTGCCGCGAGTAAACGAAGGATTTTATATGCATGCTGTTATGAGAACAAGACTTTTCGTGTAGATGACTGAAAGTAGATTGTCGTTTTGAAGTGGCGAAGGGCATGTAGTTGGAAAACAAAGGGAGTTTTTTTGAAACATTATAAATTGTTAATAAAAATAATAGTAAAATCATGGGAATAAGAATATAATACTAACAAAAATTTACATAATTATTAATCATATTTTTTTTTTGAAATTATTAAATTCACAAATTAATTTATATTAAAAAATCTTTTTATAATTGATAAATTTAGTCAAATAATAAATAACTCAATTCAAATTAAACTGTTTAGTTTTGAAACTCATCAAAATAAATATAAAATGAAATCTAAATTAAGATTATTCGAGTTCAATACACAATATATATTTCTAAATGATATATAATATAGATAGCTAAAAACTTTCATTTCTTTCCAATACAAAATTATTATCTAATTATTAATTAATAAGAGAGACCAAAACAGCTAAATCTACCGAACTCTGTCGGCAACTTTCAAACCGATTTTCCCAAGCCACAGTTGGGTGTATTTACTTTCTCTAAAAACTAAAATCAGAAAAAGAAAAAACAAAACATTTCATTTTCTCCGCTTAGGTGATCCATCTTCAGACGATGTAGATTCCATTTCCGAGGATCGCCGCTTAGGGCTCACTCTAACCGGAGGCTGGTAATCAGCAGAGCCGATCAGGTGAGGAAAATTAAGCTTAGCTTTAGAACCACGCATCTTAAATGCAGCTTGGTCATAAGCAAGAGCCGCATCCTCAGGTGTCTCGTAAGTTCCTAGCCATATCCTAGCTCCATTTTTCTTAGGGTCTCTAATCTCCGCAGCATATTTTCCCCATGGTCTTCTCCTTACTCCTCTATATTGCCATCCTTTACAATCTGAGTTGTTCTTACGCGCCGCCGCAACTTTTGGAATACTGACCTCAGGCTCAGAAACAACCTCTGGTTCTGGACTAGCGATCACATCATAAAGTTCCGCCTCTTTAGCAGCAAGCGCCGTGGAATCAAATTGATTTACCGGATTCCACGAAAAGCTCCATTCATTATCAGCTAAAGCATTGCAAATGCTCATCTCATAAGGATCGTTAACTAATTTGGAAGGTAAATGATTGCAGGTATCAGTTGAATGAGGACTACTAGAGAAGCTCGATTCCTCACTGGAATTAAACTCTGGAATACTCGCTAAGGTCTGGAAATCATCGTTAAGAAGAAACTGTTGAATTGACTCCAGAAAAGCCATGTCGTCAAACTCTGAGGTACTTTCCCTCCACATTTTCTTTTAGAAAAAGAACTTTCTATTTCTCTCTGTGGATTTGGATTTTGGACTCTGGACTGTGATGGTTGATTATGACTCTCTCTCTCTCTCTCTCTATATATATATATAGATATAAGCCTTCTGGAAAAGAAAAGGTTCCACTGTTCTTTCCAGGAAGATGCATAATTGGGAACTTATTTTCACGTGTGATCGGTTTATTTTTTATTAATTTTCTTTTATCAGTTGCGGTTGTTGGATTAAGAGGGCTCCATGTGTTTTAGCAGACAAATCTGTAAATTAATCAGATATAATTCTAACTGTCACCTGAAATAGGTCAAATAAATTAATTCAAATAATTGTGTAATAATAATTAATCTATAGTGCACGATTAACATGAGTATGAATATATATATAAGAGAGCGAGAGTTGTTTTTTATTTATTGAAATAATTAATTAGCGAATGGAACAAAAGAGAGTTCTTTTTCCAATAATTTATATTAAAGTGTTGATGCACGTCATGATATTATTCTTCGTAACCATATATGCGTTGTCAAGAGAGCATGAAGAAGGGAGTGTTTTTTTTTTTTTTTTTTTTTTTTTTTTTTTAAAATTCATATTATTCCTTTTGCAAATCTTTGGTAGGTGATAAGAAAAAGTTTTTTTTTTTTTTTTTTTTTTTTTTTAAATCATATATTCCTTTTGCAAATCTTTGGTAGGGTGATAAGAAAATTATGAGAAGGAATATAATTGTTGCTTTAGATCATAGGCCTATATAAACTATAGAGAGTTTATTTTAATTAAGTATTAATTTATATTTTAGTTCATTTAAGAGTTTATGGGAAGGAGCTTTCTTTTATACTTTAGTTCATTTACTAGCTCATGCATAAGTGTAAATAAATATTTTTCAAGTAATAATAAAGTACAAATCTCAAAACTCAATAATCTCTTTTATACTTTATATTTCCATGTGTAAGACATGTAAGGATTTGTTCATAGTTTAAGTTAAAAATTTATGTGAACTATAATTTAATCAAAACTTTTTATTGATATTTATAAATTAAATATTACTAAAGTTAAAAAAATTTTATTTTAAATTTGGAAAAATGTTAACAAATATCACTAATATCTGAATTTCTAGAAATTTCTAGAGAGAAAATTTTTAAAAATATCATAATATAATAATTTCTCCTTAAATTTGAATCAACGTAAGTGTTCATATTTCAAATATAATATAAATACGATGTGCTTAATTTTGATATTTATTTATTTATTTTGAAACAAAAGATTGGGAGATTACAATCTAGTTTGATCCTCATTAGTCATTTGGTCAAAATGGGAGGAATGTGTTTTTTCTTATTTTATTTGATATAGTTTACTGTGAATTGAATTTGAATTTCCCTATGCTTACCTAAGAGCACGTGTAATGCGTGTAGCTTTGCTTCCTCATTTCTAGGAAATTTGCTTCTGCTGCAGCAAAAGACACCACTCCACACCAGGAAAAAAAAAAAAAAAAATAGTATTGTTACTGCTGTCTTATTGCATGTGAGCCCGTGACACTTTTATATTTTTATTTTCGAAAAATAAGCAAATAAAATAATTTTTATAATATGTATATATATATATTTTTTTTTTCTCCATTTAAAAAAACAAAATCATTTCTTTCATAATATAATACTTGAACATCTGGATTTGGCTTAAAGGAACTTTTAAGTGGTTCAGGGAACTTGAACATTTTCGTGTTTTAACATTTTTTTCCGTGCAATTTTCCCTTCGATCTGTTTTAGGTTTTAACGCTCTTCCGTAGTTCTCATAATTATTTATTGCTTTCCAAAAACCATTGCTCCTCGTTTTAAAATATAAATAATTTTGTTGGAATTGTTTTACTTTAAAAATATAAAACGGTTTGAGTGTTTATATTACATGCAATAAATATTTTTATAAATTTTTTTTATCAATAAAAATTTCTTTTATTATTAAAATTTAAAAAAATTTAACATAATCAAACATTTAAACTCGAGCCATCATAATCCGCTCATCTTAGCTCGAAATGCTAAATAAAAAAATCGGTTAGAACTATACATCAACTCGAAAGAGCAGCACGTAGACAGCAAGGGATTGGGCGAAAAGGGCGGTGTTTGGATGTCAGTAGGGACCGCCTTTTTTGAAATTTATTTCAAATGCTTAAAACATGAACGCGAAACTGTTTGCTTTCTTCCTTTTCTTTATATGGTTTTTCAGTTTCACCCTCTCCTTATGTCGCTTTGGTCCGATCTAGTTGTCGTTTCTTTTGGTTAAGACATCAGTTTTGAGTTTTCTTGCTCCCACGTACATGGATAATAACTAATATTTATTTTTTTTTCATTTTTAAATTTATTTTTTTTAACTGGAAAGTCAAAAATACTTATCTGAAATATTAAATATTTTAATAGTTGTTAGCAGATAGATGTTAGTGGTTAACTGTTAGCTGTTCTATAAAAACAGTTATTTGATTGGCAATAAATTTAAAATGATAAAAAAGGATATTAAAATATTCACCTAGAATTTTCAATTAAAAATTGATTATAAAAAAATAATTACACTATATCTAAATTTTCAAAATTTCAGGGAGCAAAAATTGAAAAGTTCACTATTTTATAAATAAAATGAAAATTTTTTTAATATTCTAGGGAATCAACATTTTTAACTTTTAATATTTATTTGAGTTTAAATATAAATATATATATTTTTTTCTTTTACTATCAAATATAAATAAGCCAAATATAAAGATAATAAAATACGTAATGTGATAATAAAAAGATTTTATATTAATTAAGGATAAAGGTAATGTTGCAAAAAAAAAAGTAAAAAAAAAAAAGAATCGCTAAATGTTAGGTAAGATAATATTTTAGAAAGCATTCCATAAATCTCTAAGAGTTGCTATGTATATCAAATTACCGAACATATTAATTTAAATAAATAATATTTTGACTAATTCAAAACACTAAATGCTACTCTAAATATTACTCTCCAACACGCCCTCAATTCCAAAACTAGCTTTACAACAACTCCCATTTTAACGCTTAAATCCTTTTTTCACTTTTGGCCGCGTCTCTCAAATCTAGCTGTCGGAGTTCTTGTCATTGACGAGCTCAATTCCATTGTGTTATTATTTTGGATTCTTCTGCAACTAAATATTTTGTTTTATTTTCTTTTCTTTTCCTTTTTCTGAAGCCACATAAAAATTATACAGCCATGATGCAGGAGAATACATATCTGTTTCTTAAATAAAAAACAATTTATGATAATATGTAGAATATATATATTTTTTAAAATTCCAAGGAAGAAGATTGAATTTGATTCTCCTTTTATTGTGTATTCAAAGTAGATCTTGTCTGCTTTGCTTCACACGTTATTATATAGCACAGGTATGTAATGATATTATATTCTTCTATACATTAAATTTGAATGCTCCATTCGAATAGCATAAAATTCGGGAGCATATTGTATTTAAGCTCCAAGAATCTTAAAATACTTAAAGGAACATGGGCTGGAAATTTATAAATAAATAAATATATATATATATATATATATAACCTGCAATGGTAAATTGATAATCTAAATTTTGTTTTCCAACACACGTTCCTTCGATTCTTTCAAGATTCTCTGAGTTCACCGTCCAGCTTCCTTACTTATATACTAGTAATTTTAGATTCTTTAAGTAGTGGGGCTATTTGCGTCATTCAATTATTTGAATGATAATGTTTAATTGTTTCCTTTATATTATTGGAAATATCATTAAATTCAGACATTTATTCGTGCATTTTTCATTTGTATCATTGAATATTAAGTATATTAAATGTAATTAATCTTTTATAAAAATAAGTTTATTAGCTACCAATAATGCATGTATGGGTTAGAATGACAAATGATCCCAAGTACCATAGTTGGATTTTAGAATTGTAATTTTATCTTTTTTTTTTTTTTTTTTTGTTTCTTCGATTCTTTCAAGATTCTCTGAGTTCCCGTCAAGCTTCCCTTACTTATATACTGTTAGCTAACTAGTATTAGATTCGATCGTCTAAGGTAGAGCGCTTGACGGGCCTATTTGCGTCATTCAATCTTATTTGAATGATGATCGTATTAGATTGTTTCCTTTATATTATTGGAAATCCCTTAATCAAGGACATTTAATTCGTGCATTTAAGATAACAACGTAGACCTATTCAAGCCTATTCTGTTGTATTTAGATGTATACAAGTTCCTTGTTTCAAGGATTAGATGAGTCTGAATACATGTATTTAACACACACTTGTATGTGAATACAATTACCACTTCTTCCAAACTTATAGTTAGTACCGTCGAATAAATCCTACAATAATTAATTTTACTGAATAAACTCTAAATTGGATGCATTAAGAGAGTATAAAAAAATTGTGTATTAATTTTACTGTTAGAATGCCTTCTAATAAACTTAAAAGAAACTAACGAAAACTGAGTAGCTAGATAAGAAACATTGTGTATTAAGCGTTGAATACAAACCAAAGGAGAACACGTCTAGAATAAAACCATCATGTTTTTCTTATTTAAAAAGTGAATCATGTTAATGCCAGTTGATTCAATTGCATCCATTTTGAAAAATATAATATTTTACTCTAATTTAAAAATCAAGAAGTAATTATATCCAATAATAAAAATTAGAGAATAATAATAATAATATTTTATTATTTCTCTACTATAGCTCTCCCTTTCCTCAGTGAAAAACTATTGCCAACGAGGACACAACCACGACCTTTACCGTTTCTGTTTATTATAGTTGTTTGTTTTTAGTTCATTAAAAAACATGAAGCAATTGAGCCTTATTTCTTTTTTTTTTTTAAATTTGTAAATTAAGTAAAAATATTATATTATTTGTAACTAGAGTATAATTATAAAATATTATCTCCGTTCCATGACGAAGGTTATTTAATGTAAACTTCTTTTATCTCATTTCATTGTTATTTTAAAAAATTAAGAAAGCAGTAATTATTTGATCGTTCAACTAAAATTGATGCATTTTCAATTTGTACAATAATAAAATAAAAATGATCGAATTATTCTTTAATTAATTTTTAAATAATTAATATTTATTTAGTGGAGACACCAAAAATTAAGGGTAAATATTGAAAAAGATAATTACCACTTGGCTTTTAAAGTGTTAGAGACAATGGGAAAACGATTTCATTTTAACCGAACAGGGAGTATTTTTTTGTATCTCCATTAAGTACTTTTAATTTTATCTTTTTTTTTTTTTTTTTTTTGGTTGGTTGTAAGAAGTTGAGCTTTTATCCCATTATTTTTAAAACTTTTTTATTTTAAATATAATGTAGGGTAATAAATCATTACTTGCACTGCATATGTAAAAATTTTCTTTATTTATTAGAATTTTTTTTTTTTTTTGAAATTTGGTACATCCATTTCAAAACCTAGTTTCAGTATTGGAGTTGATGTTGAAAATTCTTAAGAAGCATTTTTTTTTTCTTTTTCCTTAAAAGTGAGTAGCAATCAACTATTAGTGGTGTGAACTTCATAGTCCGTTTGAGGCTTAGAGCAAAAATTTCTTTCTCATACTTATTATAGAAATTGTCATATGTATTTAGAGGAGATTTCAACTTTAACTTAATAGGCAATACTGAGAACACTGAAAGAATTAAGTGCGATTTGATACTCTTATGAACCTACCCAACATGAATCCGAATTAGTCCGTCACTGAGCTGCAGTTGAATAAAGTAAGAGAGCTACTTATAATTTCAACATCTTGAACAATCAAGCAAGAATTACTTTAATTTCAATTATAATTCTCTTTTATATTCAAAAGCCTTGTTATTTACATTTCACAACAATCTATTTTTCAAAACTCTCTTTATTTTTTTTGCACATTTAATTTACAACGCCTCTCAAAATCTTTTTGAGAGACTGTCTAGTTAGTTCTCAGTCTCACAATCTTTTTGATCACAAATCAGATTAGGGCACTCAATTCTGAGTAGTCGATATACTCTGTACTTGACACACCCGCAATCCCATTTTCAAGGTTGCTTTCTGAGCAAACACTAGCAGCCACTGATTCAAATCCTTTATTTCTCCGCTTTGGCTGATGAGAACTACAATCCAAGTCTGATAAAAACGATGTTGAACTTTAAGACGAAGACGATCGCTCTGGCGAGCCGCGTTTGTTAGTCACTCTAATTGGCTCATAATCGTCGGAGCCTATCAAATGAGGAAAATTTAGCTTGGCTTTCGAGCCACGCATCTTAAAAGCTGCTCGGTCATAAGCTAGAGCCGCATCCTCTGGCGTCTCGTAAGTACCAAGCCAAATTCTCGAGCCATTTTTCTTAGGATCCCTAATCTCCGCTGCATACTTCCCCCACGGCCTTCTCCTTACACCCGTATATTGCCACCCTTTAGACGGCGTGTTGCTGTTATGCGTCACTACAGCTTCTTCAAAACTAGCGGCCGCCTCCTGAGATTTCTGTTCAACGGTTGGCATCGTTGTTTCTGCAACCGGAAAATCAAACTGACTGATGAATTCAGAATCACCAAAAATGCTACTGTCAATAGTAAAATCATCGAGATCGTCAATGTTGAAAGGTGAATAATTTGAGGTGTTATCGGTGAAGATGAGAGTAGAACTAGTAGAGCTCGAATTGTTAAAGGAATTTATTAGGATTTCAACCTCTTCAGAACTAGTGGCAGCATCCTGAGATTTTGATTCAACAGGCGCGGCCATCGTTGTTTCTGGAACTGTAAAATCAAATTGGCTGTTGGATTCATAATCACCTAAAATACTACAATCAAGAGTAAAATCGTCGAGATCGTCAAATTTGAAAGGTTTATGGATCGAATCATCAAAGGAATTCATTAGATTTCCAAAATTATCTTCAAGGAGATAATGCTGAATCGGCTCCAAGAAAAAGAAATCATCAGCAGGCGGTGAGGTATTTTCCCCCCACATTCCTTCTTTTTTCACTGCTGAAATTTTGAGGATGATGATTGTCTGTATTGTTATTGCTTTTTGCTTGTCGATCATGCAATGCTAGCTTATTAGCAATACAGGCTGTATACATGCGTATATATACACACACACAGGTTTGAAGATTCATTCATCGGACGAATCCATAATTTAAAAATGTTAATATTATTTATTGATTGTAAAAAGACATAAATATGATTATTATAATTAGGGAGAACATAAATATGATTATTATAAATTAGAGATGCGGATATCGCATAGGTTTAAAAATTTATTTATCCGTCGAACCAATAATTTAAAAATGTTATTATTATTTATTGATTGTAAAAAGACATAAATATGATTATTATAATTAGGGAGAACATAAATATGATTATTATAAATTAGAGATGCGGATATCGCATAGGTTTAAAAATTTATTTATCCGTCGAACCAATAATTTAAAAATGTTATTATTATTTATTGATTGTAAAAAGACATAAAGATTTGATTCATGTGATGTAGAAAAGACCATATAAATATTGAATTATGTCATACATAGGAGAGAATCATAAAATATTGAGCTGTATGCTATAGAATTCGAGTAGATAGGTGAAGTCCGGAGAGTTCGCATGAGGTTTAAAAATTTATTTAATACGCGCGATCGAAGCACATATGTGAAGTAATGTTATTCGATATATTTATTGATTGGGTAAAAAGTAGAAAGAACAGTAAAAGGTTGAAGATTTATTACTAGAATCTGTAATGGGAGGACACGAACATAATGGAAGTTGATATGGATATTCGTCAGACAGGTGGAAGCTGTCGTAGTATCCTAAAAAGACATAAATATGATTATTATAATTAGGGAGAACATAAATATGATTATTATAAATTAGAGATGCGGATATCGCATAGGTTTAAAAATTTATTTATCCGTCGAACCAATAATTTAAAAATGTTATTATTATTTATTGATTGTAAAAAGACATAAATATGATTATTATAATTTAGGGAGGACACAAATATGATTATTATAGTTAAGGGATGCGGATATATATAATATATAATCATAGTTTGGGATTTGTTGGATTTTGATAGGCTCCCATGTGCTCACAGAGTACAAAAAATTGTCTCATTAGTATCCAATTATATATTATAAAGTGCGCGGCTAGCAGGAGTTTGTTAATTAATTTATTAATTATCAGATGAAATCATAATTTATATATATAAATCTAAGAGTATTACAGGCATATATATTATCCTTTAATTAATTTAAATAAATGCGATGACATGTGCCGATGGATTATTATCAGTGCAAATCGTATCCGTTAGATTAGTTTAATAGATTACCATTAAAATTAATTTGTCTTTATATAAAATTATGCTTTTTTATATATATAAATAAATTGGTTGGTGTCAGTGACTCAATGGAATGGAAAATAATTGTAAGGTGGACAATAGGGTGGTTTCATAATCGATTCAACTAATCATTTTGTGAATTGTAATTGTGATTGATTAAGTGTTAGTAATATTATAATTAATTTATTGATTGATTAGTGCTATGAATATCTTTTTGTTGATACATTGTTGATTCTTCGTGAAGCTTGAAATTGATGCAGATGAAATTATGAGTGCTGATTATTAGAGTTTATTATTTATTTTTATATTTCATTAGTCTTAAAATTATAATTTCACTTTTTATATATATATAAAATTGCAGTATAGTTAATTAAATTAATTTATCTATATATATATTTTTTATTTTTCCAAGTATAAATCTTGCTTCTTCACAACTAGGCTTGGCCACGGTTTTGGAACCGAACCGAAAAGGTCCGTTCCGGTTCCTGTTTGGAACTGTCCGGTTCCGGTTCCGATTCGGTTACAAAACCGACGGTTTTCCGGCGAATCGCATAATTTTAAACTTTAAATTTTGAAGACCGGTTTAAAAAAAAATTATTTGAACATAAAAAATTAAAAAATACACCTAAAAAATTAAAAAATACTTCAATTAAAGAACATGAAAAAATTAAAAAATCACACCTAAAAATTAAAAAATACTTCAATTAAATTTTATTTTTTAAAGACTTGAACTGTTGAACCATGAAATTCTAAAAAATTTTTAAATTTGCAGACCGGTTTAAAAAAAAAGATTATTTGAACATAAAAAATTAAAAATACACCTAAAAAATAAAAATACTTTCATTAAATTTATTTTTTCTAAAGACTTGAACTGTTGAACATAAATTATTTTTTTTTTAAAACAAAATTTCAACTGAAATTTTTTTTTTTTAAGTTGAACATAATTTTAAAAAACAAAATGGCTTGAACTTTTTTTTTTTTAAAAAAAAAAAAAAATTAAGTTGCCTACGTATCCCTCTTGGGGGTTTAGAGGAATCAAGCCCACGTAAGTTCTTACTTACGCTTTAATACGAATTTCACTGCCTTTTACCGTTAATCGGCTATTTCGCACCAACCGTTTGATGTTCCCGTGTTCCCGTTGAGGACATCATCGTATAAATCCATCAATAAATCTTCATTCTTCTTGGATTTTCTTGGGCTCTCTAGTTTCGGCGCTTGGTCAATCATTCCACGCATGGTGTATACGAGATCGTGTTCTCAAATATGTTTCCCTTTTCTTGACTAAAAGCTTGTTCAACCGCACACAGTGGAAGACCGGAGCTGCTAAAAATTTGTTTTGCAAATAAAGGACAAGAATTGGAAAAAGTATTGCGTGAGACTCTACCAATGCTAAAATTGGAAAATCAGCTATTTGCATACTCATTACCAAATCTCAAAAGAAGATTTGTTAGCATTATATTGTTTAATACAAATGGGAGTTTAACATTTTTTTCCTTTTAAATATTTTACTTAGTTCAAAATGACATTGTTTGAAGCATTTTTAAAATTTTCTAATAATTTATTTAATTAATAACATTAGATAAAATAAAATGATAATTTATGTTTGATTATTTTATAAAATTAATTTTATTGCTTGAGTATCAGAATTCTAAAAGTTATTTAAAATCAATTTACTAAATTTTTTTTTAAAATTCACATTAATTTTTTTAAAATAAGGACGCCTTAGAATTGAATTTTTATTTTTTTTAGAAAAAATTAATACACATCGTCGAAAACCGTGCTCAGAACCGGTGATTCAAGGGTGTCACGACCCATTTCCAAGGACCGGACCGGCACTAGGCCCTAGGTAAGCTTAAGGCTCCCGAGGCCCGTAGTAAGCTTGAAACACTACAAATTTGCTATCTCAATATAATTTTAAACATTTACAAATTTCCCTGCTTACAATACACTATATTTAATAATACAGGCTCACAGAATTATTCCATCTATAATAATACACAACTTAAAAGTATACAAATTCTATAACTGCGGAGTTCATTGACGGATGTATACATATAAGTCTTCGAAGGGCTCTTCGAACATTTATGCTATTTAATTGATCCAAATACGAAAATTAGCGAATTAGGTTTCTTTTTTTTTTTTATGAGTGAAGAGCAGAGTTATGCTGGATTTAGAAAATGCTACTTCCTGAAAAGATTTAAACAAAACAGATGCTGAGTATTATTATGAACTAATAATTATTGCATCAAACAACGCTGTCACGACCATTGTATAAATATATCAATTCCTAAGTCATGCCGACTAGTAATATAGTGTAGTGCTCACACAGCCAGCTCACTACAAATGGCATATTCCACCAGCACTCACAAATTATTAACAATCTTCATGTAATCACATGACGTGGAAATTAGTCAGGTGGAGTTCACCGAAACCCCCGATCGAGCCGTCCTCAGCCAATTGGCTCATCCTCTCACATGTGGCGAGCCCAGGGAGCCGATCCGCCTATGATCTGGCGAGCCGGTTCTAAGCTCGGGATGCGCGCTCACTATGAGACAACGATGTGTATCGGATCGTGCATTGCTCGCGATAGGCTTGTTAGCACTTTGCATGCGCCTCGGGATTTATCGTGCACCAGACTTCATTTTCCTGGCTCTTTTCTTTTCCATAGATGCAACAGGAGCAACCCGGTCGTCTCCATCAAATCTATGATGATTAAGGCGCTCACAACAGGAGGGCCACCAACTGCGGCTGGGCGCGATAGCGATCGGGTACGAAATACTTATGATGTTGAATATCGGGTGGCGCCCCAATAGAAGAAGGGGTCCAACTGTTGGTTAACAGTAACGGTAAACAGTGAGGTGCACACGGGGCGCCGATTCACCATTTACCCGGGCTAACAAAACAGATCAGGATACATATAACAGAAATCAGAATCCAGGATCCGTATAACAGAAGCTGGATGATTCATTACGAGTCTTACATAACCCATGGTGACCCACTTCATCCCCCAACTCCAGCACAAACCAAACGTAGCAAAACACAACACAATTAATCAAGAGAGAGACGCATTTTGTGCAATTGAAGGTGCTCGGAACAAATAGTTGATCAGTAGATTAGGCTAGAGATCCACGAGACTAGCGTAGATGCAATGCAGACTGCAGCGAACAGACAATCCGATCTCAAGTGCTCAAGTGCAATTAAATAAATAAATAAATAATATTAAGAATAAACAAACAATTAAATAAATTATAATAATGGAAATAAATAAATAATTGAATAATTTGATGAATAATAATGAAAATAATTAAATAAATAATGATGATAGTAAAATAATTAGAGCACGCTATTTATTATGTGTTAAGTTATAGAATTATTTTAAATAAACTTATTATGTTATTAATTAAAACTAGACTAAGTTTTAGCGAAATTTCGGCAGAACCTCCCCTAAAAATATGATTATCTACCTGTTAAGATAATATCAATACTCTCCCTATATTCATTCAATCCACAAGCCCATCCATCGGGCAATCAATCAAATCAAATGCCCATCCTCCTTTACATAGCAATACCAATAAAATGATATCCGCCTCGCTTTACCTATAGCAAATACCCAGCAATCAAGATTAATGATGGATCATCGT